ACAAAATGCTATAGATATTTTTTACGTCATGTGCACAAGTGTTTTTTCTCCTAATTAATGAAGTTTATTTTTCAAAAAAATTATCAGGTCATAAACATCGAAGGCCCATCTCTGGACAAGTTCATCGACCACCATGTGGCTAACTCCGGCTGGACGGTCGAGAAGAATCAGAATAAGGGCAGCCACCTCGTCGTACTTCCTCCCACTGAGTTCAACCATCCTCAACTGAAGAAAAACACAGAAGATGGTATTCCATTGGAGCGAATTGCTCGAATGTTCCCCATTCTTGAGTAGGTCAAGAGTTCAGCTATATTAAATCCAGCAAATTATGGAATTAAATTATTTTTTGCCCTTTTTTTCTCGTTATGCACGTTGCCCGAATTATCGTTACAAATGTGCTTCCATGGTGTATAGTGTTTCTGATCAGGCTCACTCACTATTACTTGAGCATGCTATTCTTGAAATATATGCATGGCTATAATAATACGTCAGCCTTCACAAAAACTCTTTTAATAAATTTAAAAATTTAAAAATTAAAGATCCTTCACTTCTATTCAACTATGTAACTTTCCAAATACCCCAGAAGAACATACTTTTAATTTTTACTTTTTTATAAAATAATAAATACCAAAGCAATTAGTACTAAGCAACATTGAAAGTTATGAATCTTATGAACGTAGGGGTGCGTGGATGGCACTAACATTATGCATCAAACTAAACTTCATGAATAAAACTTGGTTGCATTAAATTAAATTAAATTAAATATATATATATATATATATATATATATATATATATATACATGCACAATTGAATATTAAGCGACTTTTTGTGCCCTACTTTCGCTAATTAAAGATTAACCTCATGCAATTAACCGTCTAACCCTAATACTTTCCCAAGTGCAATACGACTTCAATTTTATTTTTTTAAGTTTAAAAATTTAAAAGGAAAAATGAAAAATCCATAACCTTTTCTTTTTATTTAAAAAATAATAAAAGAATTAGCAGCACGGGGTAAAAGAGTCCGCAAACTTCGAAAACCTCTTTGTATTCCATTAAGGAAGGAGAAGGGTAAATATTATATATATATATATATATATATATATATATATATATATATATATATATATATATATATATATATATGAAATCTCAAAACCCTCTCCTAAACTCCTACGGCAACAATGCTACCATAGATTACGCGTCGCACCCCACAAAATTCCCAAACGAAGAACAGTGAGTTAACCGATCAAGCAAAGATTCCAATGGCGGCGCCGGTTTCCGACATTATCGTACC